TGTAATATATTAAATGGCTGTTAGGAAGAGCAGAGCACATCAACTTAGCATTTTGATGGTAAGAACATACAGAAACTGAGTGGCTTCCACTACTATCAACAGTAACTTCTTAAATTCCAAATGAAGTTCTTTTAAACGAACTAATATTAAGCGTTTTTGTTTATGAATTTTAACATTATTTATACACACAAAAACAGTCTTTTTTTCCTGGACATTGTCTAGTGTATTCGTCAGATTCATATATTTCAATGACTCTCTGCTTAACAATATCCTCCAAAGGATGTCCTTTTTTAGCCTCAGGTTTAGCAAGCATTCCCTTTTCATTTTTCAGCTTTCTTAACAAGATGGTGTGAAATTGAAAATGCATTGCAAGTTTTTTTAATTGACCAACTATCAGGAGTTAATGAAAGTAACTGAACTTTTTCTTCATTCAAACTGATTTTTACTTTTTCCTTTATTGCATCTATAAGTTTGTCTAAACCATTACAGTTAATGCATTTTTGATTTTTCTCAGATATTATTTAATTTGGGTCTATATCATGGCCTTCTAGAAATACAGGCCTTGACAATGCGCCGAAATTTTTATTGACTGGAGGCCATGCGAAGCGCTAATAAGTAAAGTGGATGCGGACAAGAAGAGCAAAAAACTATAACAATAACAAGTAATAAGAGCTGTCTTAAAAGTAAAACTACAATAAAGTTAATAAACTATAATATATTTCTTATATAATATAATAAAATTTAAATAAAAACTCATTTTCATGACAATTTTAAAACTTTTTGCTTGGACTCCTCTATTCAAGTCATCAATGTAGGCACCACATTTTTTATAATAGAAATGTGTATCAGTTTGATCATAGCCATTTTTTCTTTGAACATAACCACCAATATATATATAATTGAAAGTAATGATTCTACTTGAATTTTATCCTCGAGTTCTGGGAAGTTATCAAAAATTTCGCACTCCTGCTCATTTAAATTTCGAAAACAGTTCTTACAGGAATGACCATTGGTACAATCATCAAAACTATCTATTTCTAACTGTAAAGAAAGTTTTGCATGTTGGATTCTAACTTTTCTATGACAGATTGAGCAGCAATAAAATAGGTTCCTCCAGAACCCTGACAAAGCTTACTAAAAGTTTTCTCTAATGGATCAGTTGTGAACCACCCCAGGATAGCATAATTGGTTTTGGAGAGATGGAAATTTCATTTAATTTGCTAAGTTTTAAAAAATTGGCAGACTCCAACTCATAAAGATTTACTAAATCACCCCATTTGGCTACATGTTTGTTACCTTCAAACTCAAAAATTAGTTCTCCGCTTTTTTCAGTTAACCAATTATTACGAACACACTTCATGACATAAACATAATCAAACACCGGGTTGATCAGCAGAATTTCCAATACACCTTCATGATAAGTTAATTTGGATTTAATATAAACTTCATCAATCAGCAATATACATTTACGTTGAGTATTTTCAATATTCATCATAACATTTTTAAAAATTCCAGACTATCTTGTGATCTGACTTTTGAAGTGATTCTTGTCAAAGTTCTAATACTGGGTAATTTATAGTCATTAGAAATTTGAGTAATACTTTTTTTTTATGACAAATATCTTTATTTTTTGAGTAACGTATGATTTCATCAAAAACTGACCAATACTTGCAACGTGATGTCTTGCTTGATATTAAAATGGGAATACTGCAAGATGATCCAAGATGAAACGAAGTTAATGTTAAATCCCTATTAATGATAACTAAAAATACCACATACAAATTCTTTTGACTGAATGTAAACAACATCATTATTGTCATTTATGTTGTATACAATAAGATCATTACTACGCAAAAGTCTTTCTTTTATGCTATCAAATCGAAAAAAATCATGTTCTCTGAAGCTATCTAGTTCGTCTGATTTTGTATTTCTTATACTGGACGATGACAATTTTATTGTTCTGGGTTTAGAAGTAGGTAAACTAAGACAGCTAGCTGGTATGTTAGAAAAGACAGTTGGTCGTTCTGTAGGACGTTCTTTTCCACGATAAAATGTAAAAGATTTACAATCTATTTGAAGTCGGCACACCACAGTGTATTTATTTACAATCAGATTTTTTCTTGGGATAGCTTTTATCCACTTTTCTTTTTCATATTCACCACAAGGAAACCGATAAGCGGACACCTTTATAGTTGATGAAGTATAACCACTATTACAGCATGGAACACAACATTTTTGAGGCATAATTGATAAATTTTTGCTTGACAAATGTGTTGCAATTTACAAAAAGATAAATTTTTGACTACTAATTTTTTTCGTTGCTGACTAATTAACGCTACAAAGTCGCTTAAAATTTGTGTTTATTCCAATCGCTGTTAAGTATAATACAAAAATGTTTTATTCCATGAAAATCTTTCCATCTAGAATCGGCCTCGAGTCAAAAAATATTTTATCGCGATGTCAAGGCCTGTATTTCTAGAAGGCCATGGTCTAACTCCAATGCTGATGCTACTAGGTTTGTCATACTTGTTTCCATTTTTTTAACATTTTGCTTTCCATATTCTAATTTGTCATGTTTACTTACATTTTTTAGAGGAGATATTTCCAGTAAAGAAGCTCTCTTATTTAAAACTGTCTTATTTAGGTCTGAAGAACTAAACTCCTCATCATCAACATCTTTGTCTTCATCTTCATGACTAAATTTTCCTGTAATCTGTTTAAGTTTAAATTCATTCAAACAGTTAGTGCAAAGTTTTTGACTCATTTAATAATTTTTTTCTTGTGGACTTTAAACGGATCACAGCAGTATTTTTGATGCGCTTTATATCTAGAAATAATGGCTCTTTTATGGTGAAAACATATCTCCTCATTTAGTTCAAAAGTGTGTCCAATTTTTTGAATTAAAACTTCAACATCTGTGTTCACAATATCTTTTAGTTTTATTCTTCCAATCATTCTACAATAATACGTTTTGTCACAATCTTCATTTAAAACTTTCCCAACACAACATTTCTCTGTCGTTTTTTACTATTTTTATTACTAATCTAAAAAGTTTAAAAAAGACATAAATATATTAAATCTCAAAGAAACTAACAAATATCAGACACTGATTATGACACTGATTATGTCATTATTATTAGTACAAATTAAGACATCATGTCAATAAAAAGAAAACTGAATATATTCATTCAGAGATAAATAAAAAAGATACTACTGTCATCCCTCTGACTAATTATTAGACTATGACCTAAGGCTAGTTCTTAGTCTAATAACATTCTCCTTTTGAAAATATCATCATTCTCAAAAGGCTACAATCATGTCATAAGTTAGAGTATAGGTCTTTAAATTTTTTTTGGTGATTGTTTATATATAGAACCTTAACATTAAAAAGTTTCATAATTTATTTCAATTGTTTACGCTAATTTCTATGCCAGCAAAGTCGATGTAATTTATCATAATTTAAAAAAAAAGTGATTTTTCAATAGGCTGCTGCATGTGCTAAATTAATTTTTAATTCATAATTTTGATTATTCTAACAAGTGGTGACCCTAAGTACACAAAGGTAACAAAAAAATCCACTTTCTGTAAGTAAGTATTAAACTGTAACACGTTAAAGTTCAAAAAAATATTTATAATGTTGCAATATTAAGCAACTTTAAGGTACAATAACTCAAACACTGTAAAAAATCAGTCAAAAACAACTCAATAATGGATTATTTGGGTGAAAAATTATTACCCTACAAAATTTCAGGTGATCACCATTTTTATTTAAAAAGTTATGGTTTGTCAAAGATCGAAAAAAACTGCTGTAAGCTCCTAATACACAAATTTTTTGGATTTTGGTCATTTTTAATTCAATCATAACTTTTGAAAAAGTTCGTAAATCAAGCTGAAATTTTCTGGATTGTATTTTTTTCATAAGATCTGTGTGTGGTCAAAGTTTAAAGCAAATCTGAGATGGTACCCTGTGTGTATAGTAATATTAAATAATATATATAAATTATTTGTATATTGTATAAATAATCAATATGTTTATATAATATAAATTATAAGATATATGTTTTTTAAAAATGCACACTATCATAATATTATCATAATAAACGTAGTAAACAAGATTAATTAAAAAAAATTATTCAAGAACTTTTCAACTTAAAGATTTTATTGACCACGTAATATTGAAGTAAAAATATTTTTAAAATATTAAAAAATTAAATAATTTTAAATTATGAATATATATTAGAAAAAAAAAGGTTTAAAATATTACCTTATAATTTTTATGAGTATTTTATAATGATTAATTTAAAAGTGTGAATGGACCTTAAAGTGTTCACCAAACAAAATTTTATCTTCGCGTGTGATAAAGCCGTTTTATTAATCGTTGTCAAATCTGCTCAACTTACCCCTACTAGACAAGGCGACACATCAGTTAGGTTATAAAAAGAACTATAAGGCTTGGGGAAAAAAGGATAAGTATAATCAATAGCCAAATAAATGGGTAAAATATAAACATTTAAGTGATTCCAGATAAATGTTTTTTTAAGCATCAAAGAGAAAAATAGCAAAAATATATTTTTTTACTTTTTTGGTCCAAAATCGAAAAAGTGTCTGTGCATTTACTGAAATGCGGTCTAACAACCATTTGATGCGCATTTTGTTACCATTCTTAATACCTATCTTTTATCCAGTTTTTGAGATATTTTAATTGCCCAACTTGCCCCTATGCTCAACTAGCCCCGCTCTACCCTAATTCTTTTTTTTTTTTGTTTGTTACATAATTGGATGATTTTCTTTTCCTTTCCTTTACGCATAAAATATTCTGTAAGTGGAAATCCGCCTTGATATTTTACCAAAGAAAAATATAATTTGTCACAAAATAGTTGCACAAAATATATTCTTATTACCGAATTACTTACAAATTAATAATTAAATTATTAATTTGTAAATAAGGTTTTGCTCCGCTTATTTAGAAATAAAGTATTCTAAGAAAACATTAGACAAAATAAATAACACTCTTTTATCTTAATAGTACCTCAAAATTAAATAAAAAATAATACAAAATTAAATAATACTTAAATCATTAAAAGAATAAATAACAAATTGTTCCTTTCTTGAAGAAATTTAGCAAATTCAGACAAATGAAGCCGGACATAAAAATAATACAACATATTCACGAATTATTGAATCAAACTACCAACATAAAAAACGAAGCACCAACATGAAATTAAGTAAAATAAACACCGTTTTTTAATAATATGTAATTCTTTTATTTGATATTACCTGTACCTATATTAATGATGCGTTTATCTTTTAAAACAAATTTTACATTTCTCCTTTTTGACTCTTTAAAAAAAAATAAAAAACCAAATAAAAACATTTTTACTCGTAAAAATGTAAATTAGTCAAAACTAAAAATTTAAATAAAATTAAATAACTGAAAAAATCGTAACACAAATTAAAAATTATTTCATGCAGCAGCTACATGAGTATAAGCAAGCGTGCCTTGTTTACACATGTCTTGACATTCACATTCAACATTACACAATGGGTATTGAATTGGGAGTCCCACTTCGAGCCAGACCTCTGTTAACGCATCTACTAACTCATCCATCATCTGTTCAGTATGAAAAGGGGTCGGAGCGATTCTCAGCTTTTCTTGACCACGTGGTACTGTTGGATAATTAATTGATTGAACATATATTCCATGATGGGATTGAAGAAGCTGAGAAATTTTCGTACACTTATCTGGGTCAGCCGCCTAAAAGAAAAAAATAATTGGAACAGTTCCAGAGAGGAAAAAAAATTGTTTAACTTATAAGTAGAAAAATACTTAGTTTATTATTTTTTTAATAGTTGAAATGTACTTTAAGAAACCTTTTCATTTTATAATTTACTTTAAAAACATATGTGCATCTGTATCAAAAAAATCTACAAAACATCCTAGGTCCTAATAAGCTTACCATTACAGGAATAATATGGCTAGGAGAAGGATGAACAGGAAAACCACGTTGAATCAACTTGGTTTTAAGTTGGCGAACATTCGCTTGATGTTTTTGACGTAAAGCTTGACCTTCTTTGGTTTTCAGCACTTCAATAGACTTGTATGCAGCATAGACCTTGTCTGGTGGGAGCGCAGTGGTAAAGATAAAGCCTGAACCATAACTAAAAAAACAATCATATAACGGTTTCATTTTAGTATTAAGTACTTTCAGTATTAAATACTTTTTTACTTTAAGTATTCAGTAAAAAAAAATTCTTAATATTGTATAAAATTTGTTTTGAATTTAAATTAATTTGTTTAAAAATTTAAATTTGTTTTGATATTAAAAAAACAACATTCAACATTTGATATTATCAAATTTCTTTTTATAATTGAATGAAAATCTGTGCGCGCGAGCGTAATTTTAAACAAATTAACTTTAGCAGGTAATTTGACCGCGCGAGTTTAAATTTAAAAAATACATTGATTTTATTTAAAATGGTTATTTTAAAAAGAATACAAGTTCATACATTTTTGAGCATTAAAAATTAACGAACTCGTATTTTTTGTGTGTTTATTTTCAATTATAAAGAACTATTACTCAGATGAAAATTTAAACAAAGAAAAAAATAAAAATTTTGACTGTCCAAAAATAAAATTGAACATCGATTTCATGTAATAGCCGGTCAAAATCGCTCGCCTTCGATTTCTTATTTTACGCTGATATATATATATATATATATATATATATATATATATATATATATATATATATATATATATTTATATATCTATTTGTCAGTCGATGTAGCAGCACTCCGTTGAGATTTAGGCTATTATTACAATTTAATGTACTTTCGCATTAATTTAGTTGCTTTGACATTTCGACGACAATAAAATGCAGCTTAAGAGACAAGGTAAAAAAATTGTAGTCAAAAGAGACTTTTTTTACTATAAAAGTCTCTTTCGACTACACTATAAGGATATATGTATGTATGTGTATATATATATATATATATATATATATATATATATATATATATATATATATATATATATATACAATGAATAATATATATCTTGAACAAACTTTCTTAATATATTTTGTTTAAGAAAAAGAAAAAAAAGAAAATATATTGTTTAAGAAAAAGAAAAAAAAGAAAATATTGAAAAAATAGATTGGTGCCCTAACCCAAACCCTTATCTGATGTACCTACACTCCTTACACATTCTACCTATCTAGTCAGTCTATTTATGTTCTGAAGCCCCCACAGCTACCTATTTCAGTACAACACCAATGTGTATCTAATGCTGCACTCATATATGTGTACACATATATACACAAATGTATGCATTTATATATAAGCACATTCATTATACTAAAGCTATTTGCGCACTGCACAAAACATTAAAATCAGATTTTAGTTAAGGGGAAATTTTGAGGATTTATTTATTTAAAAAATTAAATGCTTTAATTAGACATGAATTAATTGATAATGAAAATAAAGATAAATAAATATATT